AAAATAGATTTAATAAGATGTTAATAGAAGGCATATATATAATATATATTTATATATATATAAATATATATATAATATATTATATATATATTATATATTTTCTAAAATATTTTCTAAAATAAATAAAATTTATAAATTATAGATCATCAAATTCAAGCAATATTTATAAAATTAATATAAATATATCTCTGCTTCTATACTTTTATTTCTAACGCTACAACTATATTATGTTTAGAAAATGAAAAAATAAATAAGCAATAAAAGGATAAATACCTTCATTATCTACAATAGTAGAATTGAATCGATCTATTTAAAAAGAAATCCTTTTATTACAACATTATAAAATCTACATTTACATAGTCCATAATAAAGTACATTCATGAAATGAAGCGACGACTTTTTTTCTTTTTAATTTTTAATAATGTCCGGAGTTGGCGTCTAAGTTGACGCTTACGAAAAATACATCAATGCGAAATACATTCAATACAAAATAAACATATTTATATCATTGTATATATTAACATACTATTCTAACTAAAAAAAATCTCGCATTGCTTTAGATTATATAATTATATAAATTAAACGAGGCTTGTAACATTCATCTACTCGACTAAACTAACACAATACACCGATCTTTTCTACGCTACATTTTTTTTTTTTTTTTTTATCAATCTAACTAATTCTTTTTATCGATGATTAAATAATTTGGTATGCTTCGTCATGCAGACGATATAATGGACATTTATTTAAATACAACATCGATTTCTTTTTCTTTTTTTCTTTTTTCTTTTGATTAATCTTAATTATTTATTAATTATTTCATGCCACACACGGTTCTCAAAGTGTGATCATCGAACGTAAACGAAACCACGTGATTACACTCTAGGGAAATTCACAATCTTGAATTATAAAATAAAAATTACTATTCTGCATATTAATTCATGCATATAATTATTCGTGGATATAAATTATTTGTGAAAATTAAACATTCACAAATAATTTATTTTTATAGTAAAATAAACAAATGAATATCAATTTATTTTCTGCAACCGAACGGTTAATCACGAATAACTAAAATCATAGTCTGTCACGTGATTTATTTACTTCCGGTGATTTAACTCGAACAATGTATAGAATAGCATTACACGAGTATATGAAACGAAATTTAATCTATATGCAATATTCCATATAGATATAGATTTCGTTTCTAACATTTCGATCAAGATTAATATAATACACGAAGAAAACGAGAAATTTTATTGTGAGTTTATGGTCCTCAGAGTTTCAAATAGAGTGGCTTTCGACAATCTCGTTCGAAAAATCATGAACTTGCCCAGACAGTCATTGCCCATTTCAATTTGTTAAGATTTTGTTATAACCTTAAAATCGAATTAAAGAGATGTTCTTTTTTATTTGTCAATACAATTGATAATACAAATGTTCTAATATAATTACGATAAGTTTCAACCATATCAAATTGCAGTCCTCGTCTTTTTTTGCATTGACTATCCGAGTATCGCGAAGTAATTAGTTTTATAAATTTTTCTTCGAGGTGTCAAGTACTTATTATTTATAGAAATGTTATAAATTCACATATAAATGCACTATGTGCAATATATGCAAATAATTCGAAATATTCGCGACATAATTATTATAATAACTCGCAATAACGAAAAATTATTAAACAAGATATAATCGTAGAAATACATGATGTGTAATGCCGATATGCCGTAATATCTCGATAAAGATTTCATATTCAATTTTTCTTAAATAATTTTTAGATTGTTATATATTAGAAACTTAAATTTTTTTTTTTTAACGAAGCAAATGGAATTTGTGATAACAAATAAGTTATCAAGTAATTGAATATTTATAATGTTTATGTTTGCATAATTAGAAAATGCAGAACATAATAATACGTCTATTTCTCATAATAAATAAGTAATAACAAATAGTATTACGAGTTCAAAATTAACGATTCTATAAATAATTAACTATTCATGCACTACATGAGTATCCAAAACTTCAAAGGAATTATATCTTTCGGAAATAGAAGCAGTAACATCAAAATATTACTTTCACTATGAAAAACAGAAATATTTCAACTTAATAATTGGAAAATGTTGCAAATATTATCTTTGTTTTCTACAACATCGGTATACTGCTTCTTATTTCATTAACTATACTATATCTACTTTTCATCTACTACTAATCTACGCAAAAGACAGTAGTTGTTGATTTCAAATGTAGTTAATAGGTTTTACACTCGATGGTATATATGTATACCACGTAGCACCATATAATCATATGAATCGCAGTGGCATTTATTGTATTACATACCACTTATTTTTTGGAGATAATTTAAAGAATAGGATAATTTCTATTTGATACAAAATCCTTTGCGTTTATTTGTACTAATCTTTCCGCTGATTTCAGAAATAAACGGTGTTTTGTTAATAATTACGAAAGTAATTTTTATTAACCGAAATAAATGTCTCGTTTAGTAGACGCATATCGAATTCGTTATGCATTTATTCGGGAGAATTCGGACGAAGTCGGAAAAATTCGGGTAAGATCGGACTCTATATTATCCTCTATACTTTCGAGATCTTGTTCGATTCTACTCAAATTCTTTCGATTCGTATCGAAGATTCATTTTCATCGGAAAAACTTAAACAATTTGAATAAAATAATCACAAAATTTTAAAATTGAAAATATAACAATTTTATTTTTATATTTTTTCATATTATGTTAATTCGTGTAGTAACTGAGATATTGTCTTTTTATAAGCGAGTTAACGAATGTATTACTAAATAGCAAAGAGAAACAAAAGTATGGAATTTCACGTGTAATATATTCGAATATATTTTCTTTTTTTCTTTTAACAATAAAGTCATCATTTATTCTGCAAATCGCACGTATTGTATAACATTTGTAGAAATTACTTTTGCGTGGATACATTCTCGATAATATATAAGTTATATTACAAAATAAGAAGTTGCTTCTCTAAAAGTATACCTTTGGACGGACACTGCATAAACTGTAGGTGCGTTTCAAACGAAAATGCAATTATACTCAGAACATAGAATATATCGAAGATATGCTTATAATTTTTTTTTTACGACAAGCGATATGAATACGCATGCAGTGCCTGTCGTTTCTTTTTTTCTTCTTTTCTTTTTTTTTTTCTCTCTCTCGTAAATGCGCTTTAACGTGTTTTAATATTCAATATTAACGACTGATGTTAGTCGCGCGTTTACTTGCATTCTCGCATACAATTCATACGCGTAAAAAGACCACAAGTATATACATTATATAATAGTATACACGGTTAATATGGTGTCTTAATTTTCTTATTATCAAATAACGTTATTAAATGCAAAGAAATGTGTATAAATAAAGCAAAATTAATCAACATGGTATTAATAATGATGTGTATGAACAAATATAAATTAAAATACAATAATATAACAAATAGAGTTATTTCATTATAACAAAATTATGTTAATATTATTAGATATTTAAGATTAGGATTAAAGTTGAATAACTTGTTGAATTAATTCGAGTTTACTTGTCGAAGATAAGTTAGAGAATGGCTCGTATCTTGTCTTTGCTTAAAGTGAAATATATAATTCCTCATTTTAGGCGAGATATATCTTATATGTATTTATATATATATATTATTAACGAATTCGTTAAAGAGCTGTACCGCTAGAATTTTTCCTTCGATAAAACATAAATTTTCACGACCGTTACACGTTTTTTAATCAAAACAAAAATTTATTTTTCTCAATTCCATCGATATTATACGCGTTCCATTGTTCAAAGTTAAATATATCTATTCTATCCCCGCACTAATCCAATAAACCTATTCATCGACGTATCGAATATTAAATTTTCCTTATCAACGAACAAATATTAGATTATCCTGGATATATATAAAATATATATTTGTACCGATTATTATGCCTCCGATTTTTTTTTTTTTTCTAATTCTAAAAAAATAATTCTTCAAATTTGCTCGATTCACTTCGATTTTCTTTCATTCTTTTATTCATCATTATTATTTTATTTAACATTTACCAAAAAAAATCTCCATTAATAGCAAAAGCATTCTGGTAAACTGGTTCGTATCCTTTCTTTTTACTTTCATATTCATTCAGAAAAGAAAATAGAGAAGGAGAGAGAAAGAAAGAATAAAAACAAGGTTAAGAAGCACAGTAACCGGTAGAAATATCCTATTATTAGACGAAATTCCTTTTATCTCACGGTGGCAATTTTCAATGTATCCTTTTTTACGACTTTAGTACGAGGGAAGTGGTAAAACGAGACGACGGACCAGCATCGAAGCCCCGAGTCGTTGCAACGGTCGCGGAATAA